ACCCACACACCCACACACCCACACACCCACGCGCCCACACACCCCCACACCCACGCACCCACACACTCACACACCTATATACCCACACACCCACACACCCACACACCCACACACCCACACACCCGCACCCACACCCACACCCACATCCACACCCGCACCCGCACCCACCCCACACCCACACCCACACCCACACCCGCACCCACCCGCCCACCCACCCGCCCACGCGCGCGCACGCGCACGCGCACGCGCACCCGCGCGCGCACGCGCACGCGCACGCGCACGCGCTCGCGCACGCACGGGCGGCTTGGTGTTTGATGGGGAACATTGTGCCTCGAGCGTGACCGCTGGGAGTTTGCCGGCCACCGCGCGCCGCGCGGAGGGGCCGCGATGGGATCGATCTCCATCGTGACCAAGTCCCCCCTGCTAAGATGCAGCGTCTCCTCGCTGTAGGGCCCCAGGTTGCCCGTGGAAAGACGATGGGTGGGCGGTGCGGGTTTGGCGGCGGGGAACCGGACTATCTCTGAATCTTCCCCCCCCCCCCCCCCCCTAGCCTGGTTCTTCGCCCGAGATTGAATATCTCGGACGATGGCTCTTGGCGCAATCTGCTGCGCAACGAGTGGGATTTGTCAAATGCCCCCCTTCCCCCCCCTCCCCCCAAGGTTGCGCCTTGCAGAGTGGGGTTTGTCAAGTGCCCCCCCCCCCGCCCCCCAGTGCCGCATTTTTCTGCCGGCGGACTTCGTGGGCTCTAATGCCGCGCCTAAAGACACCGCCAGGAGATTTCCATTTACAACGGTGGAGTTCTGTCCAAATGCCCGCCCCCCCCCCCACCGCCCCCCCCACCCCGCGTTGAGCGTTTCGTGGCCCGGCGGCCCGGGCTCAAGACGCTGCGGCGAGCGGGGTTGCCCGCCCCCGCGCCCCCCCCCCGAGTTGCGCCTCCTGGCTCGACTGCCCACCCCCCCCCCCAAAACAAAAAAAAGAAAGAACGGATGGCGTAGCAAAAATAAAGATGGCACCCTTGTCCGCCGCGGCTCCTGGCTCAATGCGGCCTGGCTAAACGAACGGGGTTTGTCACGCGCGCCCCCACCCCCCCCCCCCCGCGCGCGCCGCCGCCGTACCTAAGGTCCGCGCCGTGGCAGAGGGGGGTTTTGTTCATATGCCCCCCCCCCCCCCAGCCCCCCAGGTAGTTGGCAGTTGTCTTGTCGTGAAAATGTTCGCGCCGTATCGTGCAGCAGTGCTGCCCGCGAGGATGAACGAGCGATTTTTTTTTTGGGGGTGGCGGCGGTGGTGGCGGTGGCGGTGGTGGTGGCGCGCGCGTGTTTTGGTGGCCGTGGGGGGCGGGCTGGGTGGGGCCCCCCCTGACATGACGGCGCGAGGCGGGAACGTGGCGCGCGTAGCTCGATGTAGAATCCCAGCGCGCATGTAGCCCCGCACGAGGGTTACATCCAAAAGGCTTCGCCACTCACGTCTGGCTCAGGTGCGGGGGTGAAATTGCATTGCGTTCGCAGTGCCTCGTTGGCCACGAGGAGGCCCTGCTGGGCTCGAAGGGGCTCCAGAAAGGGGAAGGGGGGCCTCGGGTGCCCGCAGGGCTCAGTTCAATGTGCAACATCAAGTAAATGCCAGCCTGCCAACAACGAACATGAGGTTGACAGCCGTGAGTTCTTTCTATGGACGCCTCGCGCTTTGGACGTCGGCGCCGGCAATCCTTCTGCCCGCTGCCGCCCCCGCTGGATTCAGCCATTTTGGCCGAGAGTTGCCGGCGGGTCTCTTTCGCGTCCTTTCGCATTCGGTGTTTCTTTTCAGTGGGCGCCATTTACTTTGCCATCTCTAGTCGCGAGATGGCCAAGAAGATGCACATGAAGGGCCCTGCCAGATCTGCGTCTGGGGCGGGCGGCGCTGCCGCGGGGAACGCGCTGTCCGGCCCTGACGAGAAGAAGGCGAGGTGCACCGTGTGCTTGGCCTGCAGGTCAGGTGGCAAGGACTCCGGGCATCGTTGCAACCCACGTCTTTTATCAATGATTCGCGTTCCCTTGGTGGTCCGTGCGCCTCCTGATCCGATTGGTTGCGCTGGTCGTTTGCCGCTGGCAAGGCGGCAGCGATCAGTGGTTGGTCAAAAACTTGCGAATGCCACTCACCATTCGAGGGTGGGTGACGCGTGCAAGTTGTTGACCGCGATCGGCGGCGAACGCTGGGGCCGCTGGGTGGCGCTTGCCTGTGTGCGAACCCTTGCGAGTGTTAGACTGTTAGGTGTTAAAGCCTAGGGGGGGGGGGGGGGGGGGGTCGTGATGCGAACGGAAACTGGGGGGGGGGGGCTGCCTGAGAAAATCCGATTGCCACCGGGCCGCTGGCTTGGAAATCGTCGCGCAGCAGGTGGGCAGCTACTGCGCCGTCCACTTCTGCGAGAGCTGTCGCGACTGGTTCGCGGCGAGCCTTCCGAACGTCTCTTTCGAGGACGCGGCGAGGGAGAGGCAGGGCGGCGAACCCGAGGCCGCGGAGATCTCCGACGCCCTCGAGGGCGACGCGGACGTGGTCGATGGCGGCGAGGATGGGGAGACGTTAAACGTGGCCGCTTATCAGCGCGAGGAGATTGGCTTTTGGATTCAAGACGAGTTCGACCTCTTGTCCTACACGGACGTCGCCTCGATCACGGGCAAGACCCCGGCCCGGAACAAGCTGGAACCAATCGGACGAAATGCCCCCGCTGGCAAGGCTGAGACGCGTTACCCTTTTGCCACTCGGAAGTTCCATCGGCTCTTGGTGTTCACCAAGCAGAGCTCGGCGCTCAGGGCTGACGTCGCGAAGCCTCGCCCCAATAAGTTCGCCAGCCGGAGGTCTATGATCTTGGAGGCGATGCGCAAGGCCGATGTAGCATCGAGTGGCGTGGGTAGCTGGTGCCGATTGCAATGCTTGGGCGACGAATCGGTTCAGCCTGGCTTCGCGCCGCTCAAGACCGCAGCAACCCGATGGTGTCTCCAGCGGCTACCAAGCAGAAAATCGCTGCAACTCCTCCTTCGGCTTCGGGCCAGCCAGCTTCCGGAGCGACTGAGATCGCCCCGTTCGCTGGCGCGGGCAGCGGAGACTCGGTCGAGTTCGTCGGTGGGCAAACGGCTTCCGAGGGCATCAGCGCGGACTCCCAAGCTGAGCTTCCGATCGCACTCGCGGAGTGCAAGAACGATAGCTTAGCGGCCATGTTTTGGCCCACGCTTACCAAGCCGAGGAAGGTCGAGCACCTGCAGGTCGCAAAGTCTCCAGCAGGCACCGTGCACCATTGGATTGAGCGCAGCCCGCTGGAGGAAGTCCAGCTCGGAGACGGCAAGCAGAGGGAGAGGAACCAGCTCGATATACTCAAGCGCAAGGTCAGCACATCCGAGCTCAACCAGATCGAGAACAAGTGGGAGCTCATCGATGCGGCGAAGGACACGTGGACCCACCATCTGATGGAAGCCACGCCAGCACGCATGGACGAGATCGGCAGAACGATCCTGATGTCGGGGTACTCGCTTTGCTGACCCCAGCTTGGCAGCTGAACTTCCTGCGCGTCCACTACAGTCGAGCCTGGGATGCCCTCATTTGCAACTTCTTATACGGCGCGTTACATTGGTGACATCATGGGCCTGCTCCGCCTGCGGCGTACAACGACGAAAAGTTCGACCATGCCAAGCCTTCTCTGGGGGCTGTTGATATGAGCGTCTCGCAGTGCAACGAGTACTTCTTGATTTTCGGAGTGGACACGATCGCAACCTTGTTCTTCGCTGACGAGACGAAGGCGGCCCTTGCCGTAGATTTCTTTATTTCTCTGCTCAAGGCTTGGGAGTTACCAGACGAAGATGCGATCATGTGTCAGGGTTCGCTGTGAAACCCTTATTGCCATCAAGAGGGTGGCGAGTGTCGTTGTGTTCCTTGGCGACATGGGCAGCGTCCTGCAGGAGGACATGCGCGGGGTCTTCGATGACGTTCTCGATCTGGAGTCGCAGAGGCACCCGAGCGGACACCCCTCGTTCTTCTCGGCCACGGGTGCTGCATTGGCCTCATCTCTCCACTGGGGTTTCAAGTTTGAGAATGGGGCGAATGATGCCAAGAAAAGGAAGCAACACGTGCCTGTTATGATCCAGCACATCAGCGAGTTGAACGCCGTCTGCAAGGAGATCTCTCCGGCCGAGATTGCGAAGCTGCTGGAGCTTGTCGACATGGCGCCGAAGATCGAGGTTGAGATGGATGGCGCTGGGGCAAATCGGAAATATGAGGGCGGGCGAAGTTGTCGCCAAAGTCGCGGGCGCGCCAAGGCGGCCGGTCGGCCCGGCGAGAGACGTTTCCCAGACTGGCGCCGAGAAGCGAGATCGGATCACGGTTCGCTTCGCGGCGCTTACGGAGGTCATCTCGCTGTGCCCCAGGGTTTGCGCGCAGTCGGAGTCGATCAAGGTCGCCCTTATGGCATTCAAGGCTGCTCGGGGCAACTTCGCCGCTGACGTGGTTTTTTTTTTTTGTTTTTTTGGTTTCGCCGCTGACGTGAACTTCGCCGCTCTCCGTGACTCGATGGGCAAGTTCTTGGCAGATGCCTGCGAGGGGCTCGACGTGAACGTCTTCCACGCCCTGTCGGAGCTGCGCAGGCAGGAGTTGCCGATTGATATTGGCGACAAGCTGTACAAGGAGTTCCTGTTGGGCTCGGGTCGGCTCTTCGACAAGGAGTGCACGTGCCCGCAGTGGCTGGGCATCATCGAGGGCGCGCGCTACGTCCAATCCTCGGGTCCTTCGGAGAAGTGGAAGCCAGTGCTGACCGTTGTGACCGCTTGGAAGGCCACCTGCGATTGCGCGAAAACGATTCGCAAGTTGGGCGCGGAGCCCGAGAGTAGGATCCACCGCGAGAGCTTTGCTTGATGCTTGCGGGACCTCCAGACGGCGGACACAAGTTCAGAGTCTCGTTCGAGAAGCCCGTTGTAAAGGAGTTGTTGCTTGAGGATGCTGACCAGACCTTGCAGACCTACGGCTGTGACTTCACGACGTGCTTGACCGAGCGCGCGGAGGCCCGCGCCGCCTTCCCCGGCAAGGTCGCCAAGGCCTCCGCCGACGTTCTGACCGCGATGGTGCGCGACGCGGGCGCGGGGGAGCTCGCGGGGGCGCTGGCCACGGACGCCGTGAACGGCGCCATGTCCAAGAACAGCGACTACCTCGATGAGTTTTTCAGTGCGGGCGAGTCCGTGGGGCGTCCCGCTGCGAGGTCGGAGGGCGATCCAGGCAATGGCCCTGATGAGCACTGATGGGGGGGGGGGGGGGGGGGTGAAGGAGGGGGGGGGGGCGGAAGGAGGGTGGGGGGGGGGTGGGGGGAGGAGGAGGAGGAGAGGAGGATGAGGGGGTGGTCGGTACCGGAGGGGATCAGAAAGGTGTGGGGGTGTGGGGGGAATGAGGAGGAGTAGGGGAGGAGGAGAGGAGGAGGAGGAGGAGGAAGGAGGATGGGGAGGGGGGAGGACGAGGAGAAAGGAGAGTGGGGGAGGAGGGAGGGGGGGGGGGGGGGGGGGGGGGGAGAGGGGCGGAAGGAATTGCGGAATGGGTGGAGGAGGGGTGGGGAGAGGAGGAGAGGGAGGAGGAGCAGTGAGGTGGAGGAGGAGGGGGGGGATGGGCCAAGCTACCCACTTTGCTGCATGGACGAAACGCTACTCTTCCCCCTCCCCCCTCGCTACAGAGACTCTCTTTCCTCTGACTCTCCCCTCCTACCTCTCCTTCCCCCCCCCCGCTCCTACTCCCCGCCCCGCCCCCCCTCCCTCCTCCCTCCTTCATGTTCGGGACTTCCACATCCTCCCCCGCCTCCTCCTCCCTCGTCTACCTTCCCCCCCTCCTCCGCCGCTCTCCTCCTGTTGCAGATTCAAGCGTTCCTTCCTCGAAGGACCATGGGATCTTCGAGGTGGCCGCGAACGCCAGAGGCAGCGCGGCTGCCGACGATTCCGATTTCCCGAATGCGTTGAAAATTGTGCCCACTAGGCTTCTCGTTGCTTCGGTTCTGAAAGTTGCCAAGACTTGCCCAGGCCGTTTCGCGCGCGCGGAGGCGATGCTCGAAGCGCAGTCGGCAATCCGCGAGGTGGAACTCACCCCCAGTTGCCTTGATGAGCGCGTTCTTGCCGCATGCAAAGGTGCATTGAACATCTGAGTGCTTAGGGTTTGTCGAGAGGTTTGGGCCTCGCGGCCGCGAGGTGCGGCGCCGTGCGCGGCTGTCGCGGTGGCACCTTGCTGCGCGGAGCACGCAGGGCAAGACGAGAATGCAGGGGCGTCAAATCCTCAGGGCATCCATCCTTGCTTGTGCACGAACGTGGGGAGGGCGTTCTCGTTGCGTTTTGGCCGTGCGAGCGCGCGCGTGCAAGTGTCGTGTGCGCGCGGCTGACACCGCTCACGATGTTGTTTATTTTCTGTGTGGCCTCTTTTGCCGCATGCCCCGCGTCGGGGAGAGATGCGTCAATGTGCTTTCGCGCGTCCGCCTATGCTGCTCGGGATCTGGCCTCGGATAATTCGATCAGGGCGGCCCCCACCCCGAGGCTGAGAAACCGTTTTGACATGATGCTTAGGGCTCGTATCTGGGAGGGTTTAAAACATCTTGACGGCGGTTTCCTCTTTTCTCAACACCCCCTAAGCGAAGCGTCCATCGCCCGTTGCGGGTCTACGGACGTGCGCCCTCTGGCGTTATCCCGCGCGCCTCGACGATGCCTCTAGCATTTCGAGTTCGTCGTGGACTTGTCCCCGAAGGGAAGCGCGTTTGCGTGCCAGCGTGCCCCTTCGTCGCCATTGCTGCGAGCGACGCTCGAGCCGCGGGCGCGACTGCGCCGACGGGCGGTTATGTCCTGGTCGGCTACCTGACAGTGGAGCGGGCGGGGGATGTTGCGTCTTCGTCGATGCCTTACTTGCGGAGTGGGGATCCTAGGGGGGCGAAGAATGACATGCCACATAAAAGCGCGGAGGTCCGCGCGGATTTCTCGGGTCGGCGCTGGGCCCCCTTCCCCGTCGCGCGGAGCGCGCCAGGGGCGGCGTCGGAGGCGCCGCCAGGGGGCCCCAGCGCCAATCCGAGAAATCCGCGCCAACCTCCGAGTTTGCATGTTGACGTCGTTGTTCGCTCCCCGAATAAGGGGGAAGGCGCCGGCCCAATGGCGCCGCGGGGGGCCGTCGCCCCGGCAGCGCTGGCGCGCGGAGGCGCGAAAGGGGCGCCGCGGGAGGCGCGCCCTTGCGGGCGCGCGACCGCGCGAGCGCCCCCCCCCCCATCCACAGTCTCGCGGGGTGGAGGTGCGATGGCGCCGCCCTCGATCGGAGCGCTGAGCCCATGATCGCCGAGCGCGTTCCGCTGCTCGCAGCGGGCCAGCTTGCAGGCGCCCGAGACAAACGCAGTGCGTCAGCCCTTGGACAGACGCACCGATCGGCGCTGGCCCTCGCCCCCCCCCCCCCCTTCCCCCTGCCCCCTCGCGCGCGCCGCCGAGCTGGGGCGCGGAGGCGGGTGAGCCGGGGCAGCGTTGGGGGGGGCGGCGGCGCCGGCGGGCCACGCCAGGGTCTTCGCGTCTGAGCGCAGGTGTTCCACGGGGGGGGGTTCTCGTCGCTCCGAGGTCGCTCTGCGCCTCCGGAGCAGCGATCATCTCCCCGGGTTGGTGGGGCGGGGGGCGGGGCGAGGGCGGAGGGCCGCGTTCGCTGGGAAAGGATTCGGAGATTCGATGTCCTCGGCAGAGCGCGCGCGCGAGCACGCGCGCTCCTTCGCGAGCGAAAGCGCCGCCCGCGCCAGTCGCCGCGTGCCGCGCCTGAGTGCGGCTCGGGGCAAGACAGTCGGTGATTGTGGGTTGGCGTCAGGATGCGGGTGGGGATGTGGCATTGACAGCAACCATGACAGCCAGGGGGCGCCCGCGTTCGCTCGCCGCGGAAGCGCCCGTTGCAAGTGCGTTTGGGTCGTGCGAGCAAAGCGCGACGGAGGCAGTGGTTGCTGTTATTTTTGTTGCCCACCCACCATGCTCTGGGCCCCTGGGGCTGCCGGGGCCAGGCGGGTCGGGCGCCGGCGCGGCCTCCGCGCGCGCGGTTGACGACGCGCGCTTGCGCGTCGCAGGTGCGCGGGATCTCGCGCAGGCTGCGCGAGCGGAGGCGTCCTTCGTCTTGCCGCGGGCCGCGGTTTGCATCAAGTCGCCAGGATCAGCATGCGACGAAAGCCGCGGCATGTTCCGCCCGCGCGCGATCCCGCTCGCCGTGCTCTGCCCCCCGGCGGGGTGACCGCGTCGGCGAGGGCGGCGCCGGTAGACCGGCAGGTCTTGCTCTCTCTGGGGGGGGGATCTCGGCAATGCTGGCAGGGGGGGGGGGGGCGGCAGTGCTGGCAGGTCCGCGCCCGGGTCTTGCCGTGTGCGCGGAGGTGTTCGACGGGGGGGGGGGGCCCGCCCCGCGGTCGTTCTGCGCTCCTGGAGCGCCGATCGTCATCCTGGGTCGGGGGGGCGGGGCGGGGGGCGGGGCGAGGTCGGAGGGCCGCGGTCGCAGGGGAAAGACTGGGTGATTCGATGCGTCCGGCGGAGCGCGCGCGCGTCGCTGCCGAATGCGCGACGCGAGTGGTCGCCCCAATGGCGTTTTGCTGTCCCGAAGCGCCGTGGGGGTGCAGGGTTGGGGCGGTCAGGGGGCGGGGGCTGGGTCTTTGGCGCTGCGTTCGCTGGATGATGATGCGATGCTGATTCGACGTGTTGGGTGGGGCGAGCGCGCGCGTCGTCGCTGAAGGCGCCACGCGCGCCAATGACCATCCGCCGCGCTTGTCGTTGTTAACGCAATGGGAGGAGGGGGGCGGACAGGGCGGTGAAAGGGATAACGTGGTTTTGCCGAGGGAACGCGAGGGGGCGCGAGTGGCGGGGTCCGCGGGCAGGTTCAGTGCCGACCCAACAAATCCGGGCGGACTACCGAGCCGTGATGTTCATGCCCCGTCCTGTCCCCCTGAGCAAGCCTCGCCCCGGGTTCCTACCGCGGAAGAGGATCGTGCTCATGCCCCCCCTCCCCCTCCTCCTCTTCTTCTCCTCCCCTTCGCCCGCCGCCGCGCCGCACGCCGCCCCCCCCCCCGCCCCGCCTCCTGCGCACCGGCTGCCTGGGCCCCTTCCGCGCGCCGCCTCCGCGCTCGAGCCGCCGCCCCCCCCGCCCACGGGGGCCCTTCCCCCGGCCGCCCTGCGCAGAGCAGCCGCCCCGCAAAACCGCCTCCCCCTGGCGTGGGGCGCGGCGGTCTCGCGGGCCGCTGGCGCCGCGAGCGCGCCGCCGCTGCCTCGCGATGGTCGGGGTGCTCGGGGGCGCGGGGGCCTCTCCCGCCTGCTGCTCCTCGTCGTCCTGCTCTTCCCCCCCCATCCTCCCCCTCCTTTTTCCTCCTCTTCCCTGCACCGCGTGTTCCTGCCCCCCCTCCTGCCCCGCCCCCGCCCCCCCCCCCCCCCCCCCCCTGGGATGAGGCCGCGCAGAGACGTGGAAGGGGGGCTGGGGCCAGAGGTCGTCGCTCGCCACGACGACGTCGTCGCTCGCCGCGACGCCGGGGACAGCGCGCGCGATGAGCGGGGGGCCAGGAGACAGCCAAACGTCACCAGCGACAGCCCTGGGAGCTTGACGCGCGGGAAGCGAGAGGCGAAGACAGAGCCCAGCATCGCCCGGGCCATCTTGTGGGCCCAGCAGAGGGCGCATAGGCTACGGGGGCGAGCTCGCTTCGAGCCAGGCGAAGGTCGAGCCCAACATCATCAGCTACAGCGTTGAGACCAGGGCGAACCTGGCGGGCAGCGGCAGGCCCGCGCGGGGGGCTCGCGCGAGAAGAACGGGCAAGAGGCAAAGCTGGGGCCCAATTCTTTTAGACGCGCTACTGGGAAAAGCGCGCGCGAGAAGCGGGGGGCGACGTTCGAGCCCGACGCCATCAGCTACAGCGCTGGGATGAGGGCGCGCGAGAGATGGGCAGTGGCAGCATCGAGAGGGAGACGACTGCACGGGCGAGAAGGGCGGGCAGTGGCAGCCTCAAGCGGGCGAGGAGTGGCAGCCGCAAGCGGGCGGGCAGTGGCGGCATCGAGAGGGGGGCGGTTGCGCGTGCGAGAGGGGCGGGCAGCGGCAGCCGCAAGCGGGCGGGCAGTGGCAGCCGCAAGCGGACAGGCAGTGGCAGCCTCGAGCGGGCGGACAGTGGCAGCCTCGAGTGGGCGGGCAGTGGCAGCGCCGTGCGGGCGGGCAGTGGCAGCTGCAAGCGGACGGG